TTCGAAACGTATTCATTATAATTTTATTAGAATTATTTTCGCCATTCCAATTTTTTTTCCCTTTAATTTGAAAATCCAAACTCTTTCGGAATATTTCAACTGATTTCAAGGGTTGAGTAGTAAAATAGGTTGTAGTCCTAAAATAGTTGTCAGAAAATAGGTTGCTTCCCCTCCCCCCTAATAATTTTCAGTGACTTTTAAATTTTCAATTTTTTTTAAAGAAAAAAAAAAACAGCAATAAGCTATTTATGCTGTTTTATTAGCTATAAAAGGGGTTATATATAATGCATTATCGCTTTCACATAAGTATTATCTAAATCATTTAATGTTTTCTGTTATAAAATAAAAGTCTCTATTCGATTCTACCAGATAGCACTGTTACCAGATTGCAACAAAAATGCGACAGCTACGAAGACTCATTTACGAAATCACATGTGTCTCTCTATATTTGAAGGCCACAACGAGACCACAATGAGACATATAATTGTAGCAGTGACATGACCGTGTGACGAAGATATGACATATTCACGTCACAACTTAGTCACACGGAGACATAACTATCATAATTTTGTCACATCATTTCATCGACTAGGTCATTTTGTCGCCACGCTATTTCGCCGACAGGGTCGTTTCGTCGACAGGTTAATTATTTCAGTTAACTATTTCTTGTGTGTGCTTGTATCATATGTTTATATGCAACATTCTTTTTATCATTAGCAATGGCACAAACAATATCATACCAATCCTTAACCTGTTTCTTAGTTACTTTACCAATCACGGTATTGGCAGCGTTACAGATATTGTCTTTTATACATTTCCATTTATTTTACACGGTACCATCATAATTTTTTAAATTCAACTGTTCCTTTACTTTTTCGCAATATTCAAGTCTTACTCTTACATTTTTAATTTTAATGCAGTCATATTCTCTCTAAGTCTCTCCCTTAAACTTTTTTGCATTTGATAATCTTGATCTAACTTTGGCAATAATCACAAGAAGTGATCTGAATCCACATTAACTCCACGATAAGTTCTCACATCCATCAAGTCTGAGTAATGTTTTGCTTCAATTAGTACGAGATCAATTTGATTAGCATAAGTGCCACATGACACACGCCAGGTAGCTTTATGAATATTTTAATGCGGAAAGGATGCGATTCCTATAATCATATTATGTGAAGCAGCAAAATCAATTAATTTGTGTCCATTATCATTGGTTGTATCATGTAAGATAAATCCACCAGTTGCAAATTTAAATTTCCTTTCTCTACCTACTTTAGCATTTAAATCTCTCAAAATAATTTTTATATCATATTTTGGACAACTGTAGTAAATTTTCATAAAAAATTTCCTTTTCTTTCCCTGTTTTATCCTCAGTTGGTGCATAAGAACAGATAATACTGAAATTAAGGAACTTTACCTTAATTCTGAGCTTACACAGTCTCGGAGAGATTGCCTCAAAATCCAAAATCAGGTGTCGTATTCTTTTGCTTACGATAAAGTCAGTGCCATCAATATGTTTTTTGGAGTGACAACTGTAAGAAACAGCATGATTCCTTTTATTCAATGTTCCATTGCCAATCCATCTAACCTCTTGAATGGCAATCAAATCAATATTGTATTGTTCCATCTGTTCTAACAACAAATGCAAAGCTTTGGCTCTATAGGGAGACAGAACGTTCCAGCTTCCAATTCTCTTATCCAAATTTTGTTTTCCATGAAGTCATCCGGGACTTTTCTTCTACGAATTTCGTAACAAGAAATTTTCGCAGGATAGAGGTGTCGACCATACGCCCAAGCTAAAGGACCAGTCCCCTGATATAATCAAAAGAGGCAAGGTGCCCGGATATACCCCCAGACACTGGGTACCCATTTTAATCGCCTTTTACGACATGCATTAACTGCATTGGGACTATTCTTTCACACCCGGTCACCACACGGATGGCAGGCATCTGCTAATTTGGCCATTATTTAAAACTCCTCGAATACGGGCGTACACATAGTTTTCTTCAAACCAGTCAACTATAGGTTTAGCATCTGCAGGCATTATCCCTTTTAATTCTTCGAATGCCATTGGTATTTCCGAAGATGATATAAAGTCAAAGCAGGAATCTGACACAATGAAAGACTGAACTCTTCATGTGTGCCATATTTCTTAGCCAAACTACGTTCTTGGATTTTCCTATAAATCGATTGGCACAAATGAAAGAGGCAACCTTTGCTTTGTGATCCTGGAAATTCTGAATTTCTCGCATTAATTGCAGCCTTTTCAAAATCGGTCAAAATAAAATCTGGCTTGAATTCCAAATTTGTCTCCATACTCCCATTCTATCAATTCTTGAAAGAATCTTATATAAAGTTCTTTTTTGACGTCATTAATGCGTAAATAAAAGGGCGCATTTTATTTGAAAGATTCCCAACTGGAGAATGCATACTGTAAAGTTGGCGATATACATGAAGAACAGTTTTAAAAGTTCTATCCATTATCCAGAAGGTAGTTTCTTTTAAAAACTTCAAGTTCTCATCGGTAGTAAAAATTAGAATTCGCTTCGCATCCACTGAAATATCCTTTGCAAATCTAATGCCATTTGTTGTTATCCTATATTTATTAGGAAAAATAATCTGTTCCAAAGTTTGTGGTTCAGCAAGTCTTTCTACTCTTCTAACTCTTTTGATTTTCTGGCGCAGATCATCTTTAGGAGGCATACATGAAAGGAGCTTTTCTCCTCGAAACTCCTGCTTTTGCATTTTGTATCAATTCAGCGGTCGATTATTTGCTATTTTGGCCAAGCCTTTTACGTCCGCACAAACTTTCATTACTGGACCACTACTTGCTTTAGCTGAATGATTATGTTTTAGAATATCGTGCTGGCTCAAAATATGTTGACCGTTCATTAACGTTGTTCCCGCCCATCGATGATAAAACCGATCATAACATTTCCAGTAATATCTATCATCTTGATTTCGATCTTTATTAAAGATGAATCCATCAATCTACGAAGAAGTCTTGATTTTTTGAAGCTTTAAGAACTTTACAAACTGTTAATAAATTTCGTATTGATTCAAGTGACTGATGGGGATTCATTCTAAATTAATTATTCAGATTTTTAAAACAATAAGAAAAGATAATTGAAAATACACTATAAATCTGATAAGTCAGACATTTTTTCCCCTTTCACAATGAAGAGGATATTTGAAAGTTTGCAACAGATGGGTTGAACTTGTAATTTTGGATGTCCATTTAAACTCTATTTTTACTATTCTATCAGCAATTAAGAGAAAAACAGATAAGGGGAAAGCTAATAAATTAAATTAAATACATTATTGTTGAAAATGCTCTTAATTATTGATTAATGTCTGACTATTTTTTTTCTTTAATATATATCATGTTCATTACAATTAACATAATGTTAATGTTATTACAATAAACATAATGCTTTTAATGTTTATTGTAATAAAAAGAAATTTTAAAAAACTGAATCTAATAATCAAATTGGGGGGGGATGAAACCCCTTAATCAATTACTATTTACAATTTGTTATTCTTTTATAATCATTTATCACTTAACTTGTAATGTATTTGTTATTAATTTGCAATTTGTATATTCATTAATCTCGCAATTGTTTATTTTCTAAATCTATTACATCTCTTTTTTTTAACTATTTTAAAATGCATTGATTTTGTGATACACTATGAAACCGATGCCTATTGAATCTTTTACTAAAATATCATTAAATATGGATTTTTAAGTTTTCCAATAAAAGCATAATAGTCATATTTTATTGTTTATTCAAGTTAAGGTCATCGTAAATGTTCTTATCATAAGCATCGTATTCATTTTTACGTCGCATCAAGGTTAGAACAGAAAATCAATTTTAAAGAAAATTACACTTTTTGAAGCTAATCAATGATGATCTAAATATATTAAGGTAAAATACTTATCTAATAAGCTAAACGTAAGTTCAGTCCGTTTATGAATGTTTTTTAAGGAATAGAAAACTTTCGTCCCGTTTTCATTAGGATTTAGAGAGTTCATGATTATTTTAAAAAACATATAGTCAGATATTCTTGAAAGCTATTTCTAAAATCATTTAGTTTTTATCAATAAAACAAGAAATATTTCTCATCTTTTTTCCCATCATTGAAAAGCGAACCTAAAAGATTGAAACACTTCGTATTTCAGTTATGGTAATCGGAGACCATCTTTACAGAAGCATGTTTTCTCCGAAAATAAAAAAATACGAGAAAAAAATAACTAGATTCGCCAGTTTCTTGAGTGAATCATCTTTTATCTTATATTACCCTTGTTTAATATTTCCCGAAAATATAACGTCAAAAAATAAAATAAGAAAAAATATGTTCAAGATCCTACTATCGGTAATTAGTATTCTCCCAATAATATTTGGATCAATTTGTACTATTTCATTTATGGTTAACACATCAACGATACATGTAGGGGCTGTTTCAACAATAACTGCACTGATTGTGTTTCGTACTTCAATGATAATAAAATGTTCAAGTTTGTTAAAAATACTTAAGAAATTACGAAAAATAAACGGAGATATGAGCTTCAAATTTGTGGTATCAGTGGTTGTGTGGTTTGTCTGCATTTTTGTAATAAATGCCTTTTCTTTTGTGCCAAACTTTAAGTTTGCAGCGAAGAAAGAGTTTCAAAATATGATCTTCAAAATAGAATTTGATGATGACACATCTTATTGGCTGGGAATTTTATTTACTTACAATAATTTAGTTTGTTTATGTGCTCCACTAAGCATTTTCACCATTAATTACTCCGTGATATGTCAGCAACTTAAAGGAATTTTGCGCAATTTTAACAAAAGCTTTCTAAATGGATCACAGTTAAATGCTGAAGTGATGGCAAGAAAATACTCTGAAATTGCGACATTGGTTGAAGACATAGACAATGAGCTGTCATTTTTATTGTTTTCTTTTATCATTGTTGATGCCTCAGTTGTTTACTTTGCAACTATAACAGTTCTTCATCCATCAAAGTTTAATTTCTCTGGACAATCTCTATTGATGATTTTTAGATTTGCCCTAGACCTGGTATCCTTCATCTTCACAGCATTCTCTACTTCGTTAGTATCAGAAGAGGCCGCTAATATTCATTCAATAATTCGTAAATTACACAGCGTAAACTTAATGTCAAATGCCCAAAAGAAGCTTTTCTCCTCGTTATTTAAAAAAAGCATATATCTCACAATGTGGAAAATAATACCCATNCTGACTGAAGAGATCAGAAAATGTAGTTCCCAGCTTTACTCGAAAATACCGCTTCGACAGAAAGTTCTTGAGAAAGATGGGTAGATTTCCACGAAGTCCCATGTCGTAGAGTGTCTTCAAAATTCCGTACCGCCATGTCCGATCGTAAGCCTTCTCAATATCAAAGAAGATAGAGACGAAATGGTTACGTCGAACAAAGGCGTTACGAATTCTTGACTCAAGAGCAACGATGTTATCAATCGTGGATCTTCCCTTACGAAAACCGCTCTGGAAGTCAGGTATGAGATGATTTTTTTCGAGGTAGTATACCAGGCGAGAGTTGACCATCCGCTCAAACGTTTTCCCAAGACAGCTGGTTAAAGCTATAGGGCGATAGTTAATAGGATCCTTAGGGTCTTTACCTGGTTTTAATATGGGTATCACACTTGCTTCACGCCAACCTGAAGAGTACGTTTGTTCCGTCCATATTCTATTGAATAGAACGAGAACATTTGACAACGACGTCCGATCTAAGTGGCGGAGCATGTGATAGGTGATACCATCAGGACCAGGGCTTGTATTATGAGACTGATAAAGTGCTCTCTGTAATTCTACAAAATCAAAATTACTGTTATAGTGGAAGAGGCGGCGCGTATTAAAGTTGATGTTATTTCGTTCGGCGATCTGCTTATGGTATTGAAATGCTCTACTGTAACTCTCAAGACTAGAGACAGCAGCAAATGTGTCACCAAGCATACTACAGACGTCGACAGGAGATGAGTAAATGGTAACGTTTCGTTTGAATACCGGATGGTGAAATTCACGGTATATGCCGTTAGCCCTTTTGACTCTCGACCAAACTTGTCTGGGAGAAGTAGTAGATGTTATAGAAGAGACGTAACGGCACCAAGAATCTCGCTGACTATTGCGCCTGACCTTTCGTGCTATTGCTTTAGCCCGTTTAAAGGCTAAAAGGTTAACAGTATTAGGATAAAGTCGGAAGAAGTTCCACAAGCGTCTCTGCTTTTTGTAAGCAGCAGCACATTCCTCATTCCACCACGGCTTGCAATAGCGAGGAAGCGAACTTGACGACTTGAGTATACTATCTTCTGCCACTTGGAGAATTACAGACGTAACCCGAACAACTGCTGTATTTATAGTATCATGTGTGACTATATCATCCGTGATCTGAGCAAGCTGGGAAAATTGTGGTCAATTAGCGTGATGAAATATGAAAGTTGATGGTCTTCGGCTCATGGAAACAGATGCAGAATATGAAATTAAGAGAGGGAAATCATTGCTTACTGAAAAGTTCAAAAAAGGTAAGAGATTTGGTGAACGTAATGCTAAATCAATGGCGTGAAAGGTTCGAGTAGGTGAATGAAAGTATGTTTCTTCGTCTTTATTAAGCAAACAGATCATGGTCATGGATGAGTTGTTCAATTTTACGCTCTCGGTCATTAGAGGCGGAACTGCCCCACAATTCACTGTGACCATTAAAAACTCCGGGCAAAATAAAAGGTGAAGGTAACTGAACTATCAGAGAGTTTAAATCTGTTTTAGCGACAGGTGCATGAGGTGGTAAGTAGACTGAGCATACTGTAAGTAGAATATTGAGTTGAATTTGAACAGCGCAAGCCTGTAATGAATGAAAGGTGAGTAGATGGTAATGCATTAGAGGTTAAAATTGAAACACCTCCATGAGGTTGATTTCCATTATTAAAGTCGTGCCGATGGCAGGAATAGTTGCGTAGTTTAAAAGCAGTAGATGACGTTAAGTGAGTCTCCTGCAAGGCAATACAAGCAGGTTGAAATTGGGAGACAAAGTCTTTAACATCTGACAGTTTGTTTCTTAAACCGCGACAATTCCATGAAATGAAGCATATTGACATTATGAGATATAAAGGGATGATTCAAAAGTAACGTCATTATTAAAAGGTTAGTCGAGTAGACATTCGTCGTCAGAAGGATGCAAAGACAACTCCACTTCAACGTCCATCTTCTGCAAATCAGCAGAAGTGGGTTGATTAAAAGGTTGAATGTACTTTGCATCTTTTTTCTTTCGAGAATATCCAGGCTTAAGACTTGGGGGTAGTTTTTTTGAAGGGATTTGTTTTGGACAAGGTCGATTTTTTTCAGAATTATCTAGTTTAGATGTTTTGCTAGGTGGAGGTGAAGTGGTTCTATTAGAGGTTGATGGTTCGGTAAAGTTAAATTGAGGTCTTGGCGTTGGGAGCTTAATTTGTTTATTTGTGCTACATTTTTGTGTTACGGAATCAGTTTGCGTACTGACAGAACAATAAGAAGTCTTAACAGCCGTGGAATACGACACGCCTGGACGAGGTGTACGGGCGGTGACGATTCGGCGAGCTTCATTGAACGTCAGGTTTTGCAAGACTTTAACGGTTTGTATTTCTTTCTCTAGGGACCATTTTGGACAACTCCTGGAGTATGCAACATGATCACCCTTGCAATTGATGCAAAGGGATGGCAACTCACAGGATGTGTCGCAATGGCCAGTACCAGAGCAGCGAGCACATACAGGTTGACCACGGCAGGATTGTTTTGAATGTCCAAACCTTTGACACTGAAAGCATCGTAAAGGGTTTGGAACATAAGGTCGCACTGGGCAGTTATGCCAAGCCATTTTAATTGAAGATGGAATTTGTGGTTTACTGAAAGTAAGGATTAGATGTTTCGTAGGGATGAGTTTACCATCTCTACGAATCTTGATCCTTCTGACAGCTGTTACGTTTTGCTCTTGTAGTTCTTCCAGAATCATTTCTTCGGTATCATTCAAAAATTCGGATTCCGAAATTACACCTCGAGAGGAATTGAGAGTATTGTGGGGCGTAACTGTTACATCGAAAGAGCACATGACATTACATTTGGATAAGGTGTCGGCTTGTTTTGAAGAGGAGACCTGTATTAAGAGGTCACCTGATCGTATCTTTTTAACGGAAGTGACTTCTCCCAGTACGGAGAGAAGAGCTTTATGTATTAAAAAGGGGGACACTTTGCTAAAGGACGTATCTGGTATAGTAGGATTATTCAATTTTATCAGAAAATACTGAGCGTAATCATTCGGTGTAGAAGTTGTTCCGCTGTTTTTACTATGGTGTGCAGAACATAACACCTTGCTATTTTCAGCCATAGAAAATTTCAAACATTTCCACTATTAGCGACACCACCCACCACGGAGTCCAACTAAGGGGATGTAAATATCAAACTGGTGTTGCCACCAATCCGCTATTTAACAACGGTGTTAACTAACAGTTATACGTCCGCGAGTCCTTAACAGTCCTCGTTAAGGATGGAGGCTCCTGAAGCAGCCTCCACCCTTAACGAGGTGCCCAGTAAATGACCCCGTACTTGACCCTAGCCAACAGATGATATTCGTGACTAGCCTATTGGTGCACACAGGCCAATATGCACCTCCCGTTTACCTGAAGCAAGGGCCGAAGCAGTGTACTGGGGTACCAAGATGCCCCTCAACTACCGGAATCCCCTTTTCCAGGGACACGGGTTTCCACGCACAGCGAACACGTGGGTGGTCTCTTCCCACCTGGGTCCGATACAACAGGATGGTATTCGAACACAGACAAAAAGCCCTTACCAGTTAATTTGGCAACCACGACAAGAGGGAAGAGAAAGTAGTAGGAAAGGTAGAGGAAACTGAAGGGAGGACAGATCACTAGGGCACCCCGGGGCGTGACTCCCTGTGTTTACCTAAAGAAGGTAAACCCCCTTAGGGGGCATTCATTCTAAAATAATTATTCGAATTTTTAAAACAACAAGAAAAGATGAATGATAAAAGCCCACTTTTGATGACCTAATAAGTTGTGCTACTAATCATTGTACGAGAACGTTTCACTAAGAACTCTTCTGAATAATATAGAAAAGGAAATGAAAAGAAAACGTCTCAAAATGACTGGAGTAAACAAAATTTTTTTCGACAGATTTGGTTTTTTGACCCTTAAAAATATAGAGGTAGCCGCAATCTTGGTTATACAAACCTAATAGTTTATCCAGAAGATAAAAGTTTAAGCCCTTTAATGTTAATTTTACTTTTCGTATATTTCACCATATCTCATTCATTTTTTTAAGGAAAATCGAAAAGTTTTTTCACATAATTAGAAAATTTATTTATTTAAAGACAATTAGTTTTTAATAATCATTCATTATTTATATTGTTTTATTTAATCATTATTATTATTTTTTATTTTATTATTTATTTTACTATTTATTTTATTATTAATAGTCGAAAAAAATTGAATTATAATGTATATAAATATTTACATCAATTTAAAAAATTATTTTATGACACAAAATACAAAATTTTGAATGAAATAAGTCGAATAGTTCCTCAGACATCGAAACAACTATCATTAAGTAAAATGATAATAAAAAATATCAAAAGGAAACTTATAATTAATAGGTTCAAATTTGGGACCGATCTCCTGATTAAATTATTAGGTCCATACCCTTTATTTTTGATAATCAGATATCGAAATTCGTTGAAAGAAAAGTGCATTTTCCCGCCTGAACTAGTAACTTCTAATATCGTGTAATCTATTTAATTAACATGTTTGAGGTTACTCCCTCAAACCATTAAAATTGAGTCCCAGTACGTGAAAATCTGATGATTTGATCAAAAGTCATTCAGAATGATTTTTTTCCATTCTTTTTTTTTTTTTTTTTTTTTTTTTTTTTTTTTTTGCGCATTTAACGCCTTGCAACAGTTTTCACAGAAATGCTAAAAATACACTATAAATTTGCTAATTCATGCATTTTTTTCCTTTTACTATGAATAGGATATTTGAAAGTTTGCAACAGAGGGGTTGAACTTGTAATTTTGGATGTCCATTTAAACTCTATTTTTACTATTCTATTAGCAATTAAGAGAAAAACTGATAAGGGGAAAGCTAATAAATAAAATAAAATAAAATACAATTGTTGAAAATGCTCTTAATTATTGATTAATGTCTAACTATTTTTTTCCCTAATAGATGTTTATTGTAATAAAAAGAAATTTTAAAAAACTGAATCTAATCATTAAATTGGGGGGGAATGAAACCCCTTAATCAATTACTATTTATAATTTGTTACTGTATTAGAGTCATTTATTACTTAATTTGTAATTTGTTATTAATTTGTATATTCACTAATTTCGTAATTGTTTATTTTCTAAATCTATTACATCTCTTTTTTTAACTCATTTAAAATGGATTGATTTTGTGATACACTATGAAACCGATGTCTATTGAATCTTTTATTAAAATATCATTAAATATGGATTTTTAAGTTTTCCAATAAAAGCATAATAGTCATATTTTATTGTTTATTCTAGTTAATGTCATCGTAAATGTTCTTATCGAAGCATAGTTTTCATTTTTACGTCGCATCAAGGCTAGAACAGAAAATCAATTTTAAAGAAAATTACACTTTTTGAAGCTAATCAATGATGATCTAAATATATTAAGGTAAAATAATTATCTAATAAGCTAAAGTAAGTTCAGTCCGTTTATGAATGCTTTTAACGAGTAGAAAACGTTCGTCCCGTTTTCATAAGGATTTATAGAGATTCATGATTATTCTAAAAAACATATAGTCAGATATTCTTTAAAGCTATTTCTAAAATCATTTAGTTCTTATCAATAATAAAAAAAAATATTTCCCATCTTTTTTCCCATCATTGAAAAGCGAACCTAAAAGATTGAAACACTTCGTATTTCGGTTATGGTAATAGGAGACCATCTTTACAGAAGCATGTTTTCTCCGAAAATAAAAAAATACGAGAAAAAAATAAATAGATTCGCCAATTTCTTGAGTGAATCATTATTTATCTTATATTACCCTTGTTTAATATTTCCCGAAAATATAATGTCAAAAAATAAAATGAGAAAAAATATGTTCAAGATCCTATTATCGGTAATTAGTATTCTCCCAATAATATTTGTATCAGTTTGTACTATTTCACTTATGGTTAACACATCAACGATACATGCAGGGGCTATTTCAACAATAACTGCAATGATTGTGTTTCGTACTTCAATGATAATAAAATGTTCACGTTTGTTAAAAATACTTAAGAAGTTACGAAAAATAAACGGAGATATGAGCTTCAAATTTGTGGTATCAGAGGTTGTGTGGTTTGTCTGCATTTTTGTAATAAATGCCTTTTCTTTTGTGCCAAACTTTAAGTTTGCAGCGAAGAAAGAGTTTCAAAATATGATCTTCAAATTAGAATTTGATGATGACACATCTTATTGGCTAGGAATTTTATTTACTTACAATAATTTAGTTTGTTTATGTGCTCCACTAAGCATTTTCACCATTAATTACTCCGTGATATGTCAGCAACTTAAAGGAATTTTGCGCAATTTTAACCAAAGCTTTCTAATAAATGGATCACAGTTAAATGTTGAAGAGATGGCAAGAAAATACTCTGAAATTGCGACATTGGTTGAAGACATAGACAATGAGCTGTCATTTTTATTGTTTTCTTTTATCATTGTTGATGCCTCAGTTGTTTACTTTGCAACTATAACAGTTCTTCATCCATCAAAGTTTAATTTCTCTGGACAATCTCTATTGATGATTTTTAGATTTGCTCTAGACCTGGTAACCTTCATCTTCACAACATTCTCTGCTTCGTTAGTATCAGAAGAGGCCGCTAATATTCATTCAATAATTCGTAAACTACACAGCGTAAACTTAATGTCAAATGCCCAAAAGAAGCTTTTCTCCTCGTTATTTAAAAAAAGCATATATCTCACAATGTGGAAAATAATACCCATAAAAAGAAGTTTTATTCTTGGTATGATCGGATCAATATTTACTTATGCTCTTCTCTTGGACAATCTGAACTTAAATCAGTAGCCTAAAATCGAAAAGCTTGTATAGATAGTTTCAAATCTGGAACAGCTATAAAATACCCAGTCATATGCTAAAAGCATAGACAAGAAATTATGATTTTTTTTCTTCCGTTTTCGTCTATCAATGTCTTAGTTGTTTTCTTCATAATTCTAAAATGCATTAAAGTTCAATTTTAGAGGAGAGAATGTCATAACTATTATCAGGTTTGTTCTAGTGGTTATAGTGACCTACGCCTAACAACTTTCTCTGCTTCATTAGTATCGGAAGAGACCGGTGATCTGATTTGCATTAATGTATTCACACAATATCCTATTCAGCCATATTAAAAATTATGGCCATTTCCAATAATTTATTTACCGTCAGATGGGGTGACTTTGTGCAAACTGTCACTTTTTCAATTTTTGCATCGTGCCATCTAGGGGTATTTTTTTTTAAAGCTCGGTATCAACTGATTTGAGTTGTCAACATAACGAACTAATGGTTTACTAAAAACTGGCAATGTAAAAATCATCGTTCTTGGAAAATTGTGAGCTCAAGTTACAAACAGTTGCAAAATCGGAGGCTGGAAAGTCTGCTCGGTTGAAGAAGTTCTAGTTATCCTGGCCAGGAAGGTTGGTTATACCTTAAAAGTCTTATCAATTAAGATAACAAATCATGCATAATTTTTCGTTTTTAATTATTATAATGTTAGTTATTTAATAATTAATAAAAAAAATTACCCTGGGGTGACTTTGTGCAATTTTTTTTCAGAGAAAAACATGCAAGGACTTATAAAAGAAAGCCTGTAGCAAGAAATTACTGTGATTACTACACCAAAGAAGCGTTAGAAAAATGTTTGGCAGAAGTAAAATACGGTTTATCCGTTTCGAAAGCGTCAAAAAAGTTCGGAATACACCGAAACACGATTTCGAACAAAATTCATGCGAAGCATTCGAAATCTCACGGTGAATATTTTTTTTCATTTTCATATTGTTATTTTTCATTTTAATTTCCATATGTTAATTATTTAAGACATTTAATAAGAGACTGTTAATAAGAGAGGATCATTCCGAGTTGCAGAGTTGGAGGCAATTTGGGGGAGTTAAATAAGGGAATTCATTCAACTATTCATTCATGTCAATTCATATCAAATATTTGATTGTACCTGAAAATCATAAAAAAAGTTACTTAAGATTTAATTAATAAGAATAAATCTAAAAATGCAAAAAAATCTAAAAATTAAAGTTTTTATTTTCATCTTAAGTGGATTTGTTAATACATATTTATATGTAATAT